CCGTATCTTACCACCGTCTATTTGCTTAATTCCTCGTCTACAACAGTAGTTAGATAGTTAACAGACATCATCATTTCTCGCCACGTGCACAGTTAACAATATTCGCGAACCTCCTCCAAATTACATGTCTCACCGCAACATTCTTCCGGCAGAGTAGTTGGTCTAGATGTAGATCCCTTTGTACGTTTGCGTGGGCTGAGAGACAAAGAGAGAAACTTTGACGCATCTTCCCTCTTAAGCCTGATCTCATTAAATGATGAACCTGAAATTAAGAGCAAGAACAGTAATTAGACGAGTTTGATGCTGGCTGGAGCGAGATAGTGTGAGATAAGAGCTAAGGGAATCAGTTTGGCTAGCTGATTTAGTGGCTCCTCTGGATATCTGTTAAATCTTTTTCATTTCACGACGAAGCCCGACGACATCGAGACCTCATTACTAGGGGCTGGTCTGAGAATCCTATACCCCGAGATCAGTTTATTAAATATCATATATCACATTAATTTCCTTCAAAATATACCGAGATAATTTCACACATCTTGAGACGATTGTTGCATAACCGGGGTTTCTATGTTTGTTCGTTGTCGATTTTATTACTGGTGTGATGGCCACTCAAAATGAAGATGTTTTACTGTAATTAACCAGAAGAGACAAATTTTGAGTCCCCGAAGAAGNCACTGGCTACCTTTCGCATTGTATGTTCTTTCTGGCTGCAGTGAAAAGTTGAATGTCAATCACGGGCGAAGCCTAGAAATGGACCTTGGTCAATCATAGGCGTTGTGGACCATTTTACCACCGTTTTTGCACCAAAACTGATAACCCTGTTTTTCGATTTGCGACGTCGGATAAAAGAATGACGTCAATTTGTTAAATACCTAGAACACATACTCTTCACATGGAAGACTCTTCCGTAAGACAGCGGTCAGACCATATATATCGAATACAACAGAATGTGATGTTATTGTACCATAGAATTCAAGTTCCTGTAACTATCTGCAATAAGCCTGTGGGAATAGTTCATACTATACCTGGGCGTGGTCGCCGTCTTGAATCGGAGAAGCACACGCTCGTATAAACGATTTTCATTAAATCACCGCAATATCTCGAGCACGGATGGCTTTTACGAGGTCTGCACTCAGGGGGTTCCTCCATGGTAGGTGCTCGTGCATTGATACATAAAGGGGTAAACAGGACCACTCCAATGAGCCAGATTAGTATTGTAAAGTGATCCATGCAAAGCTACAGAACAAAGAAAAGACCCAACAAAATAAGACAACAATATTCTTTATGATAACAATTTAGTAATAACTATATTTATGTTGTTTAAACGATAAGATGATCATTGATTCCAAGAATAAAAAATTGAAGCCTGTGTTTTCAGGACCAGCCTTGTGTGTTTAAAAGATGATTTTAATAGCCTACTTTGTACACCAGGGGAAAAATACAAACACCATGGAAGTGCTCTCTAAAACGTACAATCATAGACAAAGGACTTGGCTGTTCTTTTAAACCAGCAATTTTCTTTGCTCGTCTTTCCACGAACACTGAGACTCGTCAACCAACCGCCCCCGCCCCCTTTTATGGTACTGAGAATCATTTCCGAGTTGTTAATTAAATCAGTGAATACAACCCAGGTGATTATAGTCGACTAAGACTTGATGCAACCTAGTGGCCACTTCCCTACAGCGGCACCCGACCCCAACACTACGTGCAGGTAGATACATCGTCCAACTCTAAGAAAACTGCACCACCCAGCAGATAGACCATAACCGTTCCACAATGGCGATGGAGTGAAACTATAGAATACTGGACGCTTGTTTCTTCCAACTAACGTATGGCATAAATAGTTTACTCTCATAAATTTTGCTCGACTATTTCACGGTTGCCACCCCAGGCACCATATTTCTAAATTCAGACAAAGTTGCTATAATCTTTTGCTTAACTTCTCTCTGGTCTTCTCTCTGGCCGAGTTGTGTTTTATTCGTAACTCTTTAAAGATTAAGGATATGCGCGTTTATTGAATGATCCTTTTGTTAGTATGTTTTTATTCATTCGTTCATAAGTTCGTTTTGTTAGTTTAGTCTTTTTTTTAACCCCGAAGTCGAACCAATGTCAAAAATATCAAGTTATTTTTCATTGCCATGCACACACTAGATAAAAATAGACTCAAATAATAACAAACCATACAGGAACATTGATTGTTAAAATTACGAAAACTTGGTTCTTACTATGAAAGCCGCGAGCTTGAAAGAAACTGTTTGAAGATGCCGCATCCGGAATAAAGTTTTGCAGTAAAACATGCGGGGAACGAAAACAACAAAAAACCATTATCCACTGGGAAATATTTCCTTGATGTACCGCCGGAAGTTAGACTAATATTTAGAAATTAAGACAACGACCAAGAATAACTTTTTTTAACTTGAAAAAGGAAGACAATTATTTTTCACTGAACACCACACCGATTTTTACCTCGATAAGATAAACTCAGTTTTCGTCAAATACCCTCTTATTTTACATAATTCAGTTCATTATTTTAAATGAACTCAGTTTAGGAAAATATACGTTCGATCTGCTCCATCATATGCTATGCGCCACTTTGCTGTGGTTACAAATTCCCTCCATGGGGTCATTCTAAAAAGAGAGGTTCTAAAAACTGTTCTTTCTAAAAACATGTTCTATATATATCTTACTCAACTTCCAGAACGGAAAGTGACGAGCCAAGTGGCTCAAAATTGTGAAACTTACGTGATTTAGTTCATCTCGATCATAAATTATATGACCACCATGTTTTCTGTCCTGTTTATCGTTCATACAAAGGATACTTTCTTATCAAGAATGGAGAAAGGAGCTTGTTCTCGTGGCACTGATAAACCATAAACTGAGATATACGTACATTAATTAGTGAACGAGAATATCATTTTGGCAACCATGTCAGCTGCGTTTCGGCGCCACATTTGTGGAATTAAAATCTTAGAATGATATGATCCAGCAGTCTTCTCACACAGGGATGGCTATACATAATGGATCAGTGCTCTATCTAACAAGTATACAATGTAAATTCTTGTTCACTGAAATGCTAACACCCCCATTCTTGGTGGCAGACTTGTAAAAGTCTCTCTATACAGTGAAATAAATTTATTAAGGTAAAGAATTTCCTTTGCTCAATTTATGTTTAGTATATTTTGCAAAGAGAATAAGAAAGCATATTCCTAATATCAATAAGTTTTAAAATGATTTCTTAAGATTTATAATCCAAATTCAAACATTGCACTTAGACAAAGATTAAGGCTTCTTGCCCGAAGATCATTCTTAAGAAGAGGTATTTGTCACTTCAGTCCTTAACTAGCGATCGAGGATCTTATTAAGTGAAAAACAGTTAACTGTGCGATAGACGCTTACCTGAGTGTGAAAGACGACTTAACGGACAATTTTAGATAACCGCGATCTGTTTGTTTCTCTTGTGAAGCTTTGCGTCTCGTCGGTAAACGTTTTCAACGAAGATACTCTGGTGGACTCCTTCACTCGTTCATCAGCTTTTCATCTATTTCAATATGAGCGTTCGCTCAGCCACACAATTGACCACACTGACCGATGTTTGCTTGCTCTTCGATGTGTCGCGCGGTTTTCTTTCAGCAACACAAGCTGTGAGAGATAAAAGCTTCCGCGAAAACTCTAAGTTAGAAAGCACTATTTTTAAATGCACTATTTTGGCTACCATTACAATTGCGTTTTGTCCCATTTTAGGCACAGTGGGATACCATCTTCACAGCATTCGTTTTTAAAAGATTGTGCGTAGGAAACTTGAGAAATATCCATCCATTTTCAAAGTACTTTTATACTTCGTCAATATCTCTTTGACGTTTAGAAGATAAAAAACAGGTCATCTCGAGCAAAATAGGACTTTCTTAACTGCAGCTAAACGAGTGAACTCAGTCAATGACATCAATCAAGACTCTTGAAATACTGAACATCTGCTGTTGGAGTTCGTTTGACGACATTTATCGTTAATTGAAGGCGGTGTAGAGAGGAAGGAGGTCTAAACTGTACGTCTAGAGAATATCATTGTTTTTCCATTCTTGAAAGGAAATTGAAGCACGTGGTCCTGAGTAGCACTTAATTTTTGACATGTTTGTGACATTGCATCTAACTGAATGTTATTTTAATCATATTGATCCCGCTACGATACTCAATATTGTGGGGTTTAATACTCCATATGTGTAGGATCCATATCAAAAAGATAGGGAACACGGTCTTGATAACCAAGACGGATAAACAGAACTGTATCAGTCTGTTTAAACCGTCTTCAAAGGAGTTGCAAAACATCGGAGATTCCATGTTTCCGAGAAGAGAGAAAAGGGAATTCGTCTGTCTCGCAGGGTCTAAGTGAAAGGGAACGTAAAACTTATAGAAAATGCCTGATTAAAGAGTAGATTCTTACGATTTACGATATTTCGTAACAATGAACAAGCAGGCAAGAAGAATAAAAGAACACCACCTTTTTTTAACTTATTATTTCCATACACTTATTCCAAGGGTGTAATGCAGCAGCAATGTGAAAAAGAGAAATGTAGTTTTAACCTAATCGACATAATGTAAATCAAAGGTTGACAAAACATGCAGGCACCTTTTTATAACTTATTTTGTTTTCACTTGGTTCGCTGGTTTACTCAACAAGGGAAATCATTGGACAACTCAGAAGATCATGTTATCATTTCATATTTGGTTAGTTAGCAAGACTAGACAGTAGTTTGGTGAGAGAGAAATGTCTGTTGTCGTCAGTATGACTATGTAACTTATAGTGTTGTAATAGTGTTGTCGCGAATAAATTGAATTAAATTAAACTCAGGGTTGACGAAAGCTGGTTCGATTCATTAACCTGACAGGAGAAAATGCAGAGTCCTTTCTCTCTTTCTATTATTTTCTAATATGTTTTTTTCGTATATTTATT